ATTCACCGTGATCTTCACTTAACAATGATAACAATGGCACGGAAGAGCTGCTATGTATTCATAGAAGCATACTAAAATTTTCACTTCTCATTCAGGTATAATGTGTTGTCAGTACAATTAGTGCTTCATTCACTGATTGATCGAGATTTAACAGAATTTTTAGTGTCATATATTTTATATTTTTCCTTTTTATTATGGCCTCTCTTTGGGATAAATTACTTATTCTACATTGTAGAACACAATGGACAATACATGCGGAAATTGAGTGAAATCCTACTTTGTGCAAAGCTTTTTCCTTCTAGGAAATTTTCTCTCATTAGCATATTCTGCACTAGTAAATATGAAGCAAAAAAAAATAAGATTATTAATTCAGAGATAATTAACTATATTTCTTGTAGCAGATAATAAAATGGTGCTATAATCTACATTATAGATCTTAAGAATATGACTCCAATCATAGAAAATATGAAAACAGAATCACTTTTTTTCTTCTAGAATTTAATGTAATGTGTTCTGTAAAAAGAACACAATCAAAAGAAGAAATGACTAAATTTATGCACTAAAAGGAATTTCACAGTTTTCTTCCCTGAGTTTCAAAGAATTTAATTTTCTTTTCTGTTCTTTATTTTTTTCTTCACTCCTGGTGATCACGAACAGTGAAAAGCGCCAATAATAATAGAGGCATTTGCACTGCTGCAAATTTTTAAGTGGAAACTCTTGCCAACAAACACCAGCTGTACTGTGATCTTTTACTGCTGTCTTATTTCACTATTCAACAGCTTCCTTCTCCTTTTCTATCCTAACTTGGACTATGTAGTGAGAATTTCAGATCTCAGTACATATTTTGGAGTGTCTTAAAAATTACACAGTTGCTATGATAAAGAAATTTTAGATAAGCAACAAGATAGAAAAAAGGAAAAGTCTTCATATCATTGGTTTAATTACTTCCACATTCAAAGCACAGGCAGAGATTCTATTTGCATCAAATCTGTTAGAACAATGATCAGTTCTGCCAGACATTATTAAATGGTTGTGCGTGCTAACCAACTCCATAAGATGTCGCTGCAGAACTAAGACCTCAAACCACTGATAAATAGAACAAATTACACTTTTAAAAATCCAGAATTTTGATAAACTTTTAAATCAAGCTTTCTGAGAATTTCACTAAGATATTGACTTTATGATCCTTATTATAAAAACAACATACTTATTTCCTTCTCCTGCTGCCTAATTTGGTTTTGCACTTAATGTTTAGACATTTCTTTCACAACAGAGAAGAAAAAACTTATATTTGCTTATTATAACCGCAAGAGGATTTGCTAATTCATTATTTTGAATAATTTTATGTTAAAGAAGCATATATCCTAGAGTCTTGAACCCTGTTTTCTCTTCAGTTATATGAGATATAATTTTATTTTAGAAATTGCAAAGGCAAGAAATGGAAAGCAAACCATTAACAGTTTTGGAATCCAGTGTGTCTGACCTACTGGATTGCTCTTGAACAGTAAGACAGTGCAATGCTGAGTAAAATGAATATGGAAAACAGAGGCAGAGCACATACATTCTTATTCCCAGGCTCAAATGCTTAAATTCTGTCATTTCTTGTGACCTAGTCTAGATATTCTGATTATGAATCTCCTGACTAGGAATCTCCTGACCATGAATTTCCTGCTTTCTTTTTTCTTACAGAAAAAAAGAGGTAACAATACTAGAGCAGCAAAATAAAAACAAATCTCATGTATAGGAAGCTTATAATTCAAGATTTTTCACATCTGAACTAACCCCTGTGAAGTTGGTGAGTCAAGTTTAAAATCAATACTTTAGTAGTCAGAATTTGTTCACATGGTTTCACACAAAATATAGGATGAAGACATAATAAATCTGACATTAATTGTAGAATCATAATTCTTTCCTTTAAACTCCCTTCTTAAAACATAGAAGGCACTGACTAAAATTTCTTTTTCTTTTTAAGTGTTGTGAATTAATAGATGTTACAAACAGTCCTTTCCTAAATATATATGTGATGAGTCTCTTATTTTTGACACTTTTCTCACTCTCTGCTAAGCTACAGAATACCTTTTTACCATCCCATTTCTGGCCATAACAAGCCTGCTTTTTAGAATCTCATAAAGATTTTTTGATTTTTTCTTCTACTGACCTATTTAAGGTTGTTTCACAACAACTATACTCATCAAGATTTCTCATTGTAAAGCAAAGAAGTATTTTCTCATTAACTTAAGAAGAAAATAAATTTATTGAAAGGACAACAGAAAGATCATAGAAAAATGATGTTGGCCAGACCTTGGAAGCCTAAGGATGGAGGATTGCTTGGGGCCAGGAGTTTGAGACCTGTCTGGCAGAACAGTGAGCCATCCATCAATCCATCTCTACAAAATTTGAAAAATTAGCTGGGCATGGTGGTGTGCACCTGTAACCCCAGGTAGGAGGCTGATGTGAGATAATAGCTTGAGCCTATAAGTTTGAAGTTGCAATCCTGCCACTTTACTCCAGCCTGGATGATAGAGAAAGATGCTGATTCTCAAAATAATAATAATAGTAGTAATAATAATAATAGTGAACGTGTGTCCTGGGTGAGAATATCCCCAGAGAAATCATGCAATCATGCAGAACAATGGTCTTCTCAGGACCCTGAGAAGCTGGTCCCTGGAACTTCTACACAACATTCAGGTGCCATCCTTATTCCCCCTCTGCCATTCCTTGGAACTCCAAAGCTTTTCATCATCCCAGATAGTTTGAAGGATCTCTACCTTTTCAGTACTTTCTAAAAATGTAATGCCTTAAGTGAGAGCCTATACTTGGTTATACTTGGCTCACTTGAGAGAACTGTTATAAAACCAACTCTTAATTTTCCGTAGATGCTCAGGATACGGTAAGTCTGAGCTTCTGCTTCCATGACACACTTCTAAAAGCCTTCTACATAAAAGATATAGTAAAAAAATAAAAAATAAAAAAAAGAAGAATTCAAAATGAGTAAGGGATTATTAAGTATAAGAGAACAAAGAAATAAAATAAAACATTTTTTGTCAACCATGTGGCTTTCAGGCTAAATATCTTTCTAAGACATCTACCTGGCAAGAGGCCCTTGTACAACTGGGTCCTTGGTAAAAAGCTACAGAGCATATTATTTTTAGTTTGTGGATTCTGAATAGTAATTAAGACTTAAAAATCTGTTAAATTTTTTCAGGCTTCCATAGCAAGCCACCATCACCTTATATAAATAAAAGTTAATGCTGGAATTAATAAAGGTTGGAGTGCCCTGTGTCTTTCTTCTTGGACTTTTGTAGGCAACTTCACATTTTCACACCTTGAATCTAGGGTCAAAGCTACTACTAATGTGATTGTGCCCAAGTTCTAACTGCTAGGAGGCTGGGTAAAATCTTGTTTTCTTGTTCTAATTATATATTTAAGAATAAGGCACAGATTCATAAAACTCAAATAGACTGGGAATAAATATTTAAAATATTATCTTTGTTTCCTTAAATTCTTATATTTGATAGAGCTTGGTCATTTGACTTAAAGGTTTTCATGGACTTTTATTTTATATAGTGTTCAACAACATGTTTGTGATAATTGTTTATAAATATTTTCAACTATAAGAAGTTCTTTATTATGCACATGAATTCTATTCCTATATAAATTTTACTGATGATTTGCAATTTAGACCTATTTTTTATTAAAAAATTTAATTGACACAGTTATATAAATTTATTGTATACAGCATGATATTTTGAAACATATGTACGCACATTGAGCTAATTCATATATTTATTTACTAGCAGTGTTACATTTTTTGTGGTAAAATTATTTAAAATCTACTCTTGTGGAGATTTTTAGACTACAGTAGATTGCTATTAACTATAGCTACCGTGCTGTAAAGTAGCTCTGTGGAAGTTTTTATCTTATCTAACTGAAATTTCATATTATTTAACCAACATCTAGTCAAACCACTCATTCCCCATCTCAGACCCTGTTAACTACCATTCTACTCTCTACTTCTATGGGTTGAACTTTTTTAGATCTCTCATGTAAGTGAGATCTTGTGGCATTTGTCTTTCTGTCCTGGTTTATTTTACTTAACATAATGTCCCCGAGGTTTATCCCTGTTGCCACAAATGACAAGATTTTTTTCTTTTTTAAGACTAAAAAGCACTCAATTGAGCATAGATCCAATTTTCTTTATCCATTCATTTATTGATGGACACTTAGGTTGATTCCGTATCTTGGCTATTGTGAAGAATGCTGCAATGAACATGGGAGTGCAGGTATTTCTTCAACATACTGATTACATTTCCTTTTGACATATACCCAGAAGTGAGATTGCAGAATAATGTGGCAGTTCTATTTTAATTGATTTTCCTTTTACTTTTAGTTGATCTGTAACAGTTGAACATATTTATGGAATGTAGAGTTATTTTAATACTTGTATATAATGTATAATAATTGAATAAGAGCAATTAGCATATTTCTCACCTCAAACATTTATAAATTCTATGTGTTATGAAAGTTCAAAATCCTGTCTCCTAGCTTTTTGAAAATATAAATTATTGTTAATCATATTCACCCTGAAGTACTATAGAACACTAGAGAACTTATGTTTCTCCTGTAGCTGTGACTTCAAATCTGTTAACCAAATGTTCCTTATGATTTTCTGCCCCCTTCTATATTTTGAATATTTTAGAAACTTGCATGCTATTGTTCTTGGTTTGTTTGTTTTTTATTTGTTTTTTGTTGTTGTTGTTTTGTTTTATTGGAGACAGAGTTTCACTCTGTCATCCAGGGTGAAGTGCAGTGGCACAATCTTAACTCACTGTAACATTTGCCTCCTGGGTTCAAATGATTCTCCTGCCTTAGCCTTCCTAGTGGCTGGGATTACAGGCACCTGCCACCAAGTCTGGATAATTTTTTACTTTTAATAGAGGCAGAATTTTGCCATGTTGGCCAGGCTGGTCTTGAATTCCTGACTGTAGGAGATCAGTCAGAATGGTGGGAGAAATTATAGGAAAGACACAAACCTTCTTGGAAGGCCAGGAGGTTTTGCAGAGCTTCAGGAAAGAATGACTTGAAGGCAGCTGTTGTTACCCTGAGGCAAAGGAAGAGAAGTAGTACAAGGGAATGTAGGGAAATTTATCTAAATAGCTTGTTTACTTATGTTGTTCTAAAACCAGCCTTTGCTCATCTACACGCATGACTGCTCTCTGAAAGGGAGACAACAATGTTAATTATTCACAAATTGTCTTGACTCCAGGCTTTCAGCATTATGTCTGTACTGAGTACTGAATAAAAGCAAGCAGTACCATCTTATTGAGACTGCTCACTCTGGGCAGTCCCCCAGCACTCTTTCAATGCACACCTGTGTCTAAGTACTTCTTTCATCTGTTACTCAGTCAGAGTCTAAAAAATTTAAAGAATCTATAAATAAATTTAAAGATATTCATGTTTATACCTTTGAATAATTAAATTTTCATATGGCCCAAAGTGATCTACAGATTTGATGCAATCTTCATCAAAATTCTGATGACATTTTTCACAGAAATAGAAAAAATGTAATTTATGAAGCCTCAAAAGAAATCAAATTGACAAAGTAATTTTCAGAAAAAGAATAAAGCTGGAGGCATCATGGTACTTGGTATCAGTATACACTACAAAACTATAATAATCAAAATGCTATGGTACTGGCATAAAAAAATGGAGAGGTAGGAGAGTTAGTCCAACAGAACAGAATAAAAAGCCCAGAACAAAATTCATGTTTTTAAAGTCTGCTTATTGTTAACAAAAATGGCAAGAACACACAATGACAAAAGAATAGTCTCTTCAATAAATGGTATTAGGTAAACTGGATATCAACAGGCAGAAGAACAAAATTAGGCCCTCATCTCGTATCACACACAAAAGCCAACTCAAAATTAAGTACAGACTTAAATGCGAGAACCAAAACTAGAAAACAATCAGAAGAAAATATAGAGGAAATGTTCCATGGCATTGGTCTAGGCAATGAGTTTTTTGGATATGACAGAAAAGCATAGGCAACAAAAGAAAAAATAGACAAATAAGATTACATCAAACTATAAGCTTTTATACAGCAAAGGAAACAGTCAAAAACATGAAGACACAATCTAGGGAACAGGAGAAGTTTTGCAAGCCCTACATCTGTTAAGGGATTAATATTCAAAATATATAGAGAACTCAGCTTAATAGAAAGAAAACAAATAATCTTATTTTAAACTGAGCAAAGGAACTTAATAAGCATTACACAGAAGAAGACGTACAAGTGGTCAAAGTTTGTGAAAACATAGCATCACCAGTCATCAGGGAAGTGTAAATTAAAACCACAATGAGATATTACTTCACACTTGTTAGATTTAGGGAGTACTGAAGGTCAAAATCTTCTTCAGGCACCTGTGGGAACTGTGTTAAGGCTTTCCCATCACTGTCTGGAGCTTCAGATTCAAAAGCCCTTCCTTCACCTGTGGTAAAAAAAAATTGTTGGCATTCTTAGGGCAGAGTTAAACAAGTTCACCTGTTCCTCCATGGATTGAATAAAGATCAGCTAAAGGAATAAAAATTGTTTCAAGTGATTTATTTAGTTTTCAATTTTCTCACTGGAATACTACATGGAAAAAAACACTTTGAAGTTGCTTCTTTCTAAAGATGTTACTGTACCTATTGCCAGAAAAAGAGAGAAAAATAGATAATCCTCTCACTGGGAAGACAGAGTAACACAGAAATTCATTATGTGTTGTGCTTTTTTCTGTCTTTCAGTTAAAGATCTCAAAATTAATAGTTGATATTTTATTATATAGGTCTTTGTCCTGTGAAAGGAGGGAGATTATGTGTCCTTTCCTGAAAAAAAAAAATAAAGGGAATAAAAGCGTTGTGTCTTAAAATATAAGACTCAATTTTTTATAAACCTTGCTTTGATTCATCTTAAATTTTTGCTCATTTCTCAAGATAAAAAAAAATTGCTTGTTTTTTTATTCACATTTACACAACTCTGTTTCTACAACATTCATCCTTGTCATAAATATAAGCCATGTACATTTGCCTTCTTAATACTTCTTATTTTGTTTGAAATTAGATATAATACCATGGAGCATTGATAGAAAAAAATATAAGAATTTAAGGTCTTCTAATTGCATGAGAATTTAAAAACTAGCAAATATGAGTTGAAGTTATTAGTGTATACAGCAGCAGAGGTGATGCTGATCAGTTACCAGACTTCCAATTTCACACTACTATAGTACATTCTTTGGTAAATTTAATGGAAGAAAGAACAAACCAACCAGAAGCAATCTAATGCAGTCAAACAAATGACTGTTTAATCAATGCTGGTTTCTTAAAAGATGCTAATAACAATGCCACGTGTTAAGTTTTTGCAGAGTCAGGAGCTAACATGATTATGTTCCTGTGGGTCACCACATGTTGTCCTTGCCATCATCATTGTTTCCTGCAGAAATAAAATGCCTAAGGGTTACCACAGGCTGATAGACATAGCATGCCAAATTACACGCTGCATCACACCATCTGCCAAACCACAGATTCTTAGAGTTTTTCTACAGCACTGCAGAAAAAAAAAGTCTTATGATTATGAGTACTTTAGAGAAGACAGGTATTTTCTGATTTACCCTCTGGAATTGTTTTTATGGAACTGATGATAAAAGTACATATGACAAGGTGTGAGTGCCAATGAAATCCTAATTAGGGGAACTATCTAAATGCCCAGCCCTGAAGAACTCACTAAGTTTAACAGAAGGACATCTGGATTCAGCTAGTGGCATTTGTTCTATTCTCATTCTTAATTAGCATCAAGGAGTTTAATTAGAAGTTTGGCATATGAGAATCATAAGGATGCAAGAGCTAGAAGAAACCAAAGATGTCTCTGGTCCAGCGGCTTCATTTTTTTCCCAATAAGTTGGGGAAAATGTGGGGAAATGGGGAGACTATTAGGGCCTAGAAAGTACAGAGCTCAAATGAAAACATAGATGTTTGTAGGCCTGCTCAAAAATACAGACACATAGAGAATATTCATTAAGCATATTCATCTTTTTTTAAAGAATTGTCCACTTCCTACAAATTCTGGTGATGAATAGTATGCTGAGCAAAGAAATAACATGAATGAAATAGATCTTCATTAGTGTGCTATTTTTTTCTGTCTTCTCAGAGCCTCTCCATAAAATATGGTACAACGTAGTCAGCTGATCATAGTTATTTTTTTTATTCATTCAACAAATATTTTTGAGAAACATCTATGGACCAGAAACCTATATTGGATAGGAAATAAAATCTGCAGAATGTAAGAAAAAATGGAAATCTCTTGCAGCAGATTCATAACATTGATAGTTAGAGAATGGCTAGATATGTTACTACATATTGTGCTAAAAATTATATATCAATAAAACTGAGAACTCTATTAATTCAAGCTTTTCTGAACAACTGTTTACATGACCATCAATATACACTGACAAAAAGTGATCAGTTGGAAATCAGGAATTCTATATTCTAGTCTTAGTTTTGCTAGTACATTAGCTGAGTGAAAAGGGACAAATCAAATATCAGTTCGTTTGTTTAAGCATTGGCTAAGTTATATAATTTTAAAGGATTTATAAGTCTCCAATATTTATTAATTTTATAAATTTGATGTGTTTGTACCTAAATATATCAGGGTAGCCAAAGTTATATAAAAATATAAGACTTTAAAGAGAGACCCCCTTGTCATAGCTTATTAAGATTTTTAGGTTCAACTTCTGGCTTAACTATAGACAAACCTGCTGTTTTTTCTTTTTGTTTTTCTTCTTTCCCTCCCTCACTCCCTTTCTCCCTTTTTTCCTCCTCCCTTCCATCTTTTTCTCTCTTTCTTTCTTTCTTTCTTTCTTTCTTTCTTTCTTTCTTTCTTTCTTTCTTTCTTTCTTTCTTTCTTTCTTTCTCTTTCTCTCTTTCTCTCTCTTTCTTTCTCTTTCTCTCTTTTTTTCTTTCTTTCTTTTTCTTTCTCTTTTTCTTTCCTTTTTTTCTGAGAGGGAATCTCTCACTGTCTCCCTGGCTGGAATACAGTACCACAATCTCGGCTCACTGCAACTTCCATCTCCCAGGTTCAAGCCATTCTCCTGCTTCAGCCTCCCAAGTAGCTGGGACTACAGGCGCTCCCAAAGTGCTGGGATTACAGGCGTGAGCCACTATGCCAGGCCAACCTGTTTTTATTGCACGTAACTTTCTTCCGTGTTTCAGATATTGAGTTTTTTACAAATTGAAGGTTTGTGGCAACCCTGTGTCAAGCAAATCTATTAACACCATTTTCCCAACACCATGTGCTCACTTCACATATCTGTATCACATTTTGGTAATTATCACAATATTTCAAACTTTGCATTATTTTTATATCTGTTATGGTGATCAGTTATCAGTGATCTTTGATGTTACTATTATAATTATTTGGGGCCATTACAAACAATGCTCATGTAAGATGAACTTAGTGGAGAAATCCATGTATTCAGACTGCTCCACCGCATAGCAAGTTCCCCATCTCTCTTCATAGACACAACACAATAAAATTTTGCAAGTTAACCACCATACAGTGTCCTCATATGAAGTGTTCATATGAAAGGAAGAGTCACAATCATTCATTTTAAATCAAAAGCTAGAAATGAGTATGCATAGTGAGAAAGGCACATTTAAAACAAAACAGGCCAAAAGCTAAGACTTTTGCACCAGTTAGCCAAGATCTGAATGCAATAAAAAAATTGTTGAAGAAAATTGAAATTATTACCCCAGTGAATACATGAATGATGGTGAGTGCAATAGCCTTATTGCTGATACAAAGAAAGTTTGAGTCGTCTGGATAGAAGATAAAACCAGTCACAATATTCCCTTAAGCCAAAGCCTAGTCTAGAGCCAGGCTCCAAAGTCTTCATGAAGGCTGAGAAAGGTGAGGAAGCAGCAGAAGAAAAGTCTGAAGCTAGAAGTGGTTGGTTCATGAGATTTAATTAAAGAAATTGTCTCCATAACATAAATGTTTAAAGTGAAGCAGCAAATGATAATGGAGAAGCTGCAACAAGTTT